GTTTTGGTCAGGTAGCAGACCACTGGCCTAAACAAAACAATAACTTAATGAGTTTTGAAAATATTGAGCTGATATTTTATATGATRCTGTAGTAGCTGACATTATTTTACATCACATACTGCTAACAACAAAAACTCTTGGAATAAAAGGTGATGGGTGAGATGCATTCTTTTAAGGAATGCTAGGTCTTTTATTTTCACGGATATTAGAAGCATTTAAAATAACTGTCGGGACATCTAAACAAAAGCGGGTGTCAACCTGTTAGACAAAGCACTGGCCAAGAAAAAATAAAAACAGCCTAAAACTTCAAGTAAGAACWAGTTTGTTTTTGCAAACCATTCATTTTAACAACATTTTGTTTTAGAAGTTACTGACACRTTACCAGAATGTTCATCTTCAGAGGTCATGACCTTTAACTCTTCGGGCCGAGGTGTGTTTAACATAATTTCAAACAGGCGTGGTGCAGATTGGTTACAGTTGAATCACATGGCTTCTCCAGGCCAGTCAATCCAGTACATTTGGGTGTGTGTGCGTGCATGAGTGTGTGAACCAGTCTGTAATCCATCCACTCAGTTCAGTTGTTAAAAACACAGCTGCCAAGTCTCTTTGGAAGGCAGCTCACATCATGTTTTACCCCAAAACTTGTGCAACCAACACAGAACGGTTTGAGGCAACTTCAGGGACATGTTCCAAAACTCAACTCAAAACTTTACAAGAAATTTGGCCAAAAAAAAGGTAAATAAATAAATACTAAATAAGCTGACAAATCCCACATTCTTGTCCAGTTCTTAAGGTGAAACCATTCACATTACTGGAAACACTGTTCCAGTTTAGTCAAAATATTCCGGCAAAAACAGCAATATTCTAAAGAAAAACAGCTTTTATAGCACAAGGGGTGAGTCAAGATTAAAGTGAAGGTATTTTTTTTAATTGCAGTAATTTCTGTACTCACCCTCTTCTCATCTGTGTCGGTGTCACCCTGAAGCTGCATTTGTCCTCCAGTTTGAGTACAACCAGTCAAGTTCAGTGTTTTGGTCTCAGCATGTGTGAGACTGAGCATGTGTGCTGCACCTTCCTCACTCATTCGGCTTGTCAAACCTAATTGCAGACAAACTCACACACACACACACACACACACAAAAAGTAGGGCTTGTGCCTAGTGTTGCATTGCCAGCCAGGACTTTTGCCCCCCTCCCTTGGTTTAGTACTGCCGGCTCCTTTTCAAGATGCTACAGCTGAATTTCCTTATTTTATTCTCGCCACATGACTCATCAAGTGCCCGTGTCTCTCCTTCAGCCTCCTCTTTCTGAGCCTCTCAAAATGCTTTTTCCTCTCTCTCTGCCTCACACTTCACTGTTTTTCCCCTTTCGCTGCTTCCCAGTTTTCTCCTCCCCTTTCTCTCTGTATCTTGTGCTCTCTTCCCTTCTCTTTGTGCATACTTGATCTACCCAGGATTGTGTGTCCAACTGTCCCTCTACTAGAGTCCCAAGATTCTTTAAACTCGCAATATAAAATGTCATCAGCAGCTGCCGGAACATTTTTTTCTCCTCCTGAATAGTTCCTTCTGTCAAATACAATACTGACTTCATCCTAGAAGACCTGCACACAGTAGATTTGTAAGATGGGTAAAACAGAAAATGTATTTTATATTTTAACTGCAGGGCTTTGCTTATGCATTCTGTTATTTATGACATATAATATAAGTATCTCAGGCATGAAAATGGTACGCAATTTTTTTAAATTCACATTTACAGGTGTTGTTTACTCGTTTAATCACCAATCTGAAGCACATTGTTTCCTTTAACCAATGTTTTTTTATTGTTTATGTCCAAAATGTGTTTTGAGTTAGCTGTTGCACATTTACCCATAAAAATTAAGTATGTGAATGTATAAGTAAAAAAAAAGTTTCTTTGTTTATTAAAGGTATTGTTTAATAATGACAAAAGTTGTTGTATATTCAATGAATTGAATGGCAAAGGCATACGGTAACGTTTTTGCCTGGGGTCATGTGTCTGTTAGCAAAAAAACAAACCAAACCAAACCAATCCAAAACAAAACAATAATAATAATAATAATAATAATAATAATAATAATAATAATAATAATAATAATAATAATAATAATAAATAAGTACAGTAATTACTAAATATATTTCTATGAAACATGCAGAAAGTAATAAGTTTAGGAACAAATTCAATTCCATATGGCTACCACAGCCAACAAACCTTTAAAAACTGCAAAATTGGCTATAATTCAAGAAGCTCTACATGTTCTGTGCTAAACTTTGGTGTGGTAGTACCTGAGAGTTATTAGCATCACATAGTTGAAGTGCTACTTATTGAATGCAATATTTGTGTTGAACTTTGACCTTAACCTTTGGAGTCTACTCTGACTTTCTGTTAGTAAAACATCTCATGAACCAGTAGTAATAACTAGAGGTACAACTGAATAACTTTTGGAATAAGCTCAATGATAGTTACTGCAGCTAATTAACAWTAGCCAACATAAAAAGGCAACAATTCAAGCATTTGAACAATTATTTAGCCTGGTAAAAACCAGCCCCTTTTTCTATGCTTTGCTTCAAACCGAGGGTCTGGACTCTCGGCTATTGAGAAGTCATTTCTTGCTGGAGGCGTGGACTCTGTTGAAGTTTAAAATGATTGGATCAGATTTATCCAATCGCTAACATTTGGCTACGACGTGCACCAGCTCGACTGTGAAGGAAGCTAAGCTAAGAAGCTAACCAGAAAATGTGTGCGCTGTAAACAATCACGAGAAGAGATGGGAAGAGAGAAGTATCGAGCTGAAAGAGATGACTGTAAATGAGTGCTGGAGGCGTTGCGAGACAAATTTTATTTAATGTGGAAGTCTAATCAGCAAGGACTGAAACGGCGCAGAAAGKTGATGTCGTCGTTTAAAACTCCACCTCCTGTTTGCTGATTGGCATACTGTGGAAAGAGAAATCCATGTCTATGGGAGAAATCCCAGACGGAGCAGTGAAGGGAACTAGAATTGAGTGGAGCTGTGTAGGAAGGCACGGGCCAGGCTAACAAATATTAAGCTAGTAGCTGAGCTCCTCAGTCTGAGCCCCTCCTTACTGTATAATCACATGCAATCAAGAATAATGTGGTTTGACGGCAATAGCAAATTTCTTCTATTTTTCCATGATAAGATGATTTTAGTTCAAAATTGAGGCATGAAACGTGATGAGGAGTACGATACAATGAGGTGAATCTACAACAGAATGATTATTTGAAAGTATCATACATTTCCTAAACCAAACAGATAAGAACTTTCATGACTGTGTTTTAGTTGGTAACAAGTTTCTTGAGCACAACAGAAGCAGTACTGAACTTCTTTTAATTTACACCATCCAATCAGAAAAAAAATGTTTTCACACCCAATGATAACGTCAAGGTTTTTGGACTCAAGCTTTGAAACATTTGGTTCAGAGAGCATGAGACAAAAACACCACAGAGCCCAGAGGCCAGAAAACCTTTAGGAGAATCTTTAAGATGCTCAAAGAAGGTTTCACTCTTCCAATTCTCCTCACRATGAAAGAAAAAATGAATGTGACTCTGGATGAAAACAAATATTGTGACAATACATACTGAACTTGGTCCAACAAAAATACTACAGTGTGTTACATATATGCTGTTTTCAACTCAATCTGATGCAGAATCTTTGCTTTGGTCATCAATATCTTTTTTAGCAGCAACAAAATTCAGACAAAGTACCTCTTTTAAAAAGAATAATGTGGGTAACATGTGCCGCATGATTGCACAAGAGGTGTCACAGCGGCATTAGGAGCTGAGTAAACACTTTTACTGTTCATTCTGAAAATCAACAAAGTAACTGAACTATTCAGCAATTAGAAGCTGTGTGTTTTGAAGGACGACCTGTTCTCCTAAAGTTTTTTAATCTCTTGGAGATTAGTGGAAAGACAAATGTAACTTATCCTCTCAGACAACATTCTGTGATTGGTTAGAAAGTTAAATTTATGTATTATCACTGTGGTGACATTATAAGTTGGCTTTTCTACACAAGGACCAACTATTGCAGTGTCAACAAGCTCATTCTCATCACTGTCTACAGGCACATTGAATGAGACAAGAAGGTAGGAGACAAATCCCATTAGAGGACAATTAAAGCTACATACTGCTTCAAGAGATGCCATTTCTCTGTTCTGCTATGGAGCGACTAAACCCTCAGTGTGGAGCAAAGCCTCATTATGTCTGCACAAACTCAGCAAAGATCAATTATTTAAAAATAATGAAAGAATAACCAGCTGCCTGCTCAGTGCGGGGACAATTCTCAGCACTAAACTGCGGTGTCCTCATTGAGACGTTACGTGGATCTAAATTTGTCTCAGAGTGAGCCCACAGAGACACGGGAACGCAGCTAAAGAAAGCCACAGACTGCTGCGCTCTGAAGTCTTACTGTATGAATGTACTCATCTGCACAAGACTAAATAAAACATAAGGAGTCTCAGGGAATGCTGAGGGCCATGACTTCCTCCACAACGAAGACAGAGCCTTCAGTTGCAGCTACCAAAGTGGTTTTCTTTGTTCCTGCTTTTTGTTACAGCATGTGTTATGAATCCAAAACATGTCTCAGTGTGTGATGCACTTCAGGCAATAAACACTTTCCCTGCAGACTTTTAAATCAAACACCAGCAGTGTTGCCAGACAAAGCCTGCATGTCAGTCATTTATTCTTCTTCTTCTTCTTCTTCTTTCCAGTGCAGTAGAGGAGAATAATATATTTGTGTATGTGTGAGTACAGAAGCAAACTGTAAGGTCAGACTGTCCTCCAAGCCTTTCCCTATGGCCCCATCTCCTGGTCATGGACCTAAAAAACACCACTTGCCTCTCAGCTCAGCATGACCGTTTCAGTGGAAGGTGAGGTGGTTTTACGTGTGTGTGTGTGTGTGTGTGTGTGTGTGTGTGTGTGTGTGTGTGTGTGTGTGTG